AAAAAAAAAAAAAGAATCTGTGATTCTTTTGTAAATATAAATTATTATTCCTTGTAAACTAACATTATTCATAATTTCCTTTGTGACAAAAAAGCAAATAATCAAATTTGAAGAATTATTTGCTAACTACATCATACGGCCCTTTTATACAGTGTTTAAACTTTACCACATTGACTTTATGGAAGCTATTTTAGGTACTAAAAGTATTTTTCACTTATTAGCAAGTTCCAAGTTATATTACCATGGGTTGAAGTGTTGAAATTCCAGAAAATGAGGAGTAGAAATGTTAGGGGAAGAGAAATTTACTTTAATATCTAGAGCTAAAAATGAAATAATTGTATTGAATGCTTTTCTAGAAAATCAAGATATTTAATTGGGAGCCTAGTAAATAGTAATGAGTTATACATTTTATTTGTTTAATCACTTGCAGATAAACTACAGGCCTCCATCTAATATGGGAATCGCTATTCCACTCACAGATAATTTTTATCATGCAGATCCTAGCAAACCCATACCAAGAAATTTATTTCACAAGTCAAAGGTAAATAATTTTTTTTAATGAATAAATTGGTATTTATTTGAATTCAAGAGATCATTCAGTAAAATTACATATGAACCTAGCTGTGGGGATTAAACGAGAAGGTGCAGCTATTAATGTTATTACACTACTACAGATACCCCTGTTCTTCCTCCTACTTTAGCACCCCTCCTCTTACTGCTGCTCCTAGACAGGTTTTAGAGCCACAAAGTCTAAATGGGTTCTTTCCCCTTGACTCTCCCTGCCTCCTATTTGGATTTCATAGGTGGGATCCTTTCTAAAATGAAAGGAATCCCCAGACCCATCTCACCTCTCCAGCCCTATGAAAGGAACAGTGTCCAAAAGGAAAGAAGACTGTTTTGTTCCAATGGTGGGCACATTTAAACTCCTGCTAAGGTTCTGCCTAGAAGATAACCAAATCAGCAGCACCTTGCCTCTGGAGGTGGAGTGAGCGAGGTAGAGAGAACAGAGAGGAGCCACTGAGTTCAGAGCAAAAATACGTCATGGGGTAGCTTCTCCAGGAAGCTTCACAGAGGCCTATGGAAGCTCACAAGCTATTTACCCTTACGTTGACTTGTCCTAAGCTAATAATGTCTTACTGTTTCCATTTCAATGTAGTATTTTCAACTGTTGCCTTGTCAGAATCTGTGATTCTTTTGTAAATATAAATTATTACTCTTTGTAAACCAACTTATTATTCATAATTCTCTTTGGGACAAAAAAGCAAGTAACCAAACTTGAAGAATTATTTGCTAGCTACATCATTAAGGCCTTTTTATAAAGTGTTTAAACTTTATTGCATTGATTTTATGGAAGCTATTTTAGGTACTAAAAGTATTTTTCACTTATTTACAAGTTCCAAGTTATATTACCGTGAGTTGAAGTGTTGAACCTATATACACATACAAACAGACACTAGTTTTCATCCATACACATGAACACACACATACACAAAGACAGAAAATCGGCACTTTTTTTCAAAACTCTCCACTACCTTCCGATCTCATTCAGAGTGAAATCCAAATTCTTACAAAGGTTTATAAGGCTCCCCGTGATTTGGCATTGGCTTTTCATCTGAGCTAATTTCCCCAGCTTCGTCTGCTCTAGCCACATTGGCATCTCTGCTGTTTCTCAAATATGCCAGACATATTTCTGCCTCAGGACCTTTGCAGTTGCAGAAAATCCCTCTATGTGGAATGCTCTTCTTCCAGATATCACGTGGCTCATTCAGTCACCTTCTTCAGGTTTTTGCTAAATGTCACCATCATAGCGAGGCCTTCCCTGATGCTCTATTTAGAATTGTAACCCCATCTCTATTGTCCCCCCACTCCCTATTACCCTTCCCTGCCTTGTTTTCCTCCATATCACTTACTACCATTTTTCATCTTTCACTCATTTATTTTATATATTGTCTTTCTTATCCCATAGGAAGGTAAGCTCACAAGGCAGGGTTTTTGAACTGTTTTCTTCTCGGCTATATCCCCAGTACCCAGAACAGTGCCAGACATAGGGAGTACTTAAAAATTGCTGAGCAAACTAATAATACACATTTATCCACATTACACACACACACACACACACACACACACACACACACACAACATTAGGAGGTTAAACTTCTTATTGAATCTTGGATATCAGGGTAAGAAGCTCTGCCCCATGCAACAAGTAACTATGATACCGAGTTCTCCAATTCCAGTTTCTCCCAAAGACAAACTGTTGTGTCACAAGAACTACTTCCTCTATTAAATCATGACTCTACTATATTTACATGGAAATCCTTAGTTTTCTTTTCTTGCCCCCAGGATTTTCTTGGAAGTTAAATAGGAAATGTATCCGATTTAAACCTAAGAAAATAATAGGGTTTTTATGCACCTTTTATGCATTCAACAATGTTAATTTCAGCATTCCCAGTGTTATCAGGCACTGTATAGACATTCTCTGAGGATACAGCAATGATCAAGATAAATATGGTATCTACATGGACTCTAATATGGGACAATAGGTATTAAACAAAAAGTTACACCAATTAAATAGGGTCATCTAGTGCAGGGTTTCTGAACAGTATGGCTCTGCATACCATAAACCAGAATTCTGTGGAAATATTTTTATAATGCAGCTCTCTCAATCTCTCCTTACAGCTACTAAAGCAGAAACTATGGGGTACCTTTCTAAAATCTGCATTTAAAAAAATCTCTGCAGCTGATCTTGTTTACCCTAAAGTTTAAGATAGACCAATAGTAGAACTAGACACAAAGCAAGCAATATAACTGTGTATCAGGGAGTCAGGAAAGACATCCCTGAGGAAATGCATCTGAGTCAACTGAGGGCAGAGTAGAGGTTAACCAAACAAAGGAGTAGGGAGTAGTAGCATAGTAGAGGGGAGTGGGGAGACAGCCTTCCAGGCTAAGGAAATACCATGCACAAAGGGTGGAGTTGGGAAAGAACTTCGTGTCTCTGAAAAACTCAAAGACCATTAGCCTGGAGCACAGAGAGAGAGAGAGAGAGAGAGAGAGAGAGAGACTAAAAAAAGTTTGGACACAGTAGGCCCTAATGCTATAGGTTCTTATAGGCCATTGAGAGGATTTTGAATTTTATCGTAAGAGAAATTAAGAGCCATCCAAGGGTTTTATGCAAGTAAGTGACATGATTATTTTGTATTTTAAAAACTATGATTAGACCAAACTGACAAACATCTACACTCTTTCCTGGACAAATTCTATGAAACATTGGTACGCATATTTTTGAAGAATAGATCAGTGAAGGTAATAAGTAAATAAATAGATAGATGATTGATTGATTGAGAGAATTCTATTAAGAGGCCAGAAAATTTGAGGAAATTCTTAAGACAGAAAGCAATAGAATTATATGCACAGACAAATACAACTGGAAGAGGTCACAACTGATAGTAAAACAAAAAACAAACAAAAAATAACCCTACAACTGATGCCTAAAGAGGGAGTTTGAGAGCATTTCAACTCCAAAGTCAAAGGATACTAAAACTTTGACAGCTTCTATGCAGCGTTGGTCAAGGAAAAGTGCAGCTAAGCTGGGGAGTCTTTCCACAACTGGTAAGCAGGCTAGAGTAGACAGGATCTGGAACACAGAAGCAGATCATGCCCCAGGGCGGCTACTGACAATTGAAAGAGATAGGAGCCCCACTCCAGACACAGGATGCTCATTCATTCCTCCTTGCAGCCCATTCTGCACAGTTCCTTGAGAACAAGGTAGCAAAGAGCTTTCTAAAAATAAGTGTTTCTGCTGTGATGAGAACTAGAACCCTAGCAAACCTCTCATTCTACAAAATCACTCCCTAAAAATAACAGAGCAAGGGGGAAAATAGGAAGACTGCATTGGAGCAGACTATTCAAAACTGATGTAACTTTGCCTCTAATCACCAGAATATTAACATGCTGGGGAGCACAAGTGCATATGAACCAGCACTATGACCTCCTTGTTATACTGACACTACTCCCATGCTAGCCATCCTATATAATGTCATTCAAAGAAAAAAACAAAACACTGTAGCAATTAGACTATACAAGGATGAGCAGGCAACTGTAAAATGCCAACCATTCGAAGAAAACATATACAATAAAAAAAGGAGTCATAAATCTCAACAACTAAAAAAAAAATGATGCCTCAGAAAACAGAGTTAATATCATAAGTAGAAACAAACTCTAGAGTGAGTATAATAATTATTTCCAGAAAGATTCAAGAAAATATTGCAACCATGAAAAAAATTGCAGCTATCACCAAAAGCTGGAATTAACAATGTAGTCAATGAAACAGAACCCAGTCAATTGAATAGTTGAATGGCCTCGACTAAACAGCAAATTACAGAGTTGGGATTTGAAATATTGTCGAGACAGATTATCTACTGTT